TCTCCCCCCCCCCTCCTCTCTCTCTCTCTCTCTCTCTCTCTCTCTCTCTCTCTCTCTCTCTCTCTCTCTCTCTCTGTGTGTGTGTGTGTACATATAGATGGAGAGATGACAGGCAGATAGACTTTTCTATTCTTTCTGTGTAAAACATCATTTATTGATTAAGTGATCCCACACTGTTTCTGGTAGCTGTGGTAATGAGTGGATCCCTGGCCTGAGACCCTACCATGCCGTAATTGCAGATGCACACTTCAAAATACAGTCTGAGTATGAGGGCCATTGTCTCTTTGAGTAGTGCTGCTCATGCCAATTTGGGGAAAGGAAGCTATGCTGTCACAGGTTGGGAGACAGCAGGAAGTTTAAACCTTTGGGTGGCATTTATGAATGTTGGATCACCATGAAGGCCATTTAATCATCAAAGAACAGAGGAATGCGTTTTCGGCTGTGTAAGGGGGTCAGACAAACTTAAAGAGTCAGATGCTGGGTTGTTCCACATTTTGTCTTTAGATTGGTTATTGCTTGAGGATGTCTGTGCTCTTAACAGTCACTGGTTAGCTGTAGGTGATGGATGCTGCTGTGCACTTATGGGGAAGTAGGAGAGCAGATACTTGGAAGAAACCATTCTCCTTGGTGAGAGATGAGAGAATGAGTACTTGGTTGTGGGTGGAAAGAGGCAGCTGGCCCGTTAAGACTATTGTCATGGAGTCTCCCACTCAAGTTGGGTCAGGCTTCTTCCATTCACCAGAAAATGGAGCATAGGGAATGGAGCTCTTTTAGGTTGGTGATGTCCTAGAGAATGGGAGGGACCCTTGCAGAGAGAACCCGGTAGTTTTTTTTTTTTTAAATCTCTTAAAAACTAAAAAAAAAAAAAAGTTCTTCCAGAGGATGCTCAGTGGATTTTTTTTCTTCCGGTGTTAGTTATCAAACCTGGAGTCTTGCTAATGAATTTCTAAAGTGCATTTTTTTATTCAAGTCTGTAGATTAAATGTACATGTAGATTAAATATACACACATTTATAATTACTTGTTTGTTGTGGTTTTGGTAATTGTATTACAAGCTGGACAGCAGCTAGATTCAGGTGTCAGCATTAAAACTCATGTACATTGGGAGTTACTGATTCTCACTTTGACAAGTACTTATTCCAGTGCTATTATTTTAGTGGCTATTGTTGTTAAAACTTAAGGCATATGTAACACTTTTGAAGACATCAGTGACTAAAATTGGAGGTCAATGGTCCTCTATGGCAAGTTGAATAAAATTTTTTTGTTCTGAAGGTTTTAAAGATTTAGAGTTGGAGAAAGTAATTTGAAGATTCTTTATATGAAATTCTCACATTAATTTTTCAAAAATTAAAATCATTACTGAAGCACAAATGTTTAACAGAAATAATTGATGTTCTTTTATTATTTCATTTGAAAAAAATTTTTCCTATGGTTATAAATTAAGGAGTATGGTTTTTAACTGTTAATTTGCATTTAGAGCTATAGCACTAGAGGATAAGACTTCAATTCTTCTGATGTACATATTTAAAACTTTTTGTTATATTAAAATTTTTGAGGCTGAGTGTGGTGCACACCTTTAATCCCAGCACTCTGGAGGCGGAGTCAGGAGGATCTCTGTGAGTTCAAGGCCAGGCTGCTCTACAGAGAGAGTTCCAGGACAGCCACAGCTGTTACTCAGAGAAACCCTGTCTCAGAAACAAACAAACAAGCAAAAAAACCTTTTGCTGTAGACAGAAACTCGCTTTGAAGCCCAATAAATAGGGCAGGTAGACCCTCTGTGTATAAGTTATATACCAAGCGTGACTTTCTGTAGTATTTCTTCCATTATGAGTGCTAGTTTACCACAATTAATTCTAAGATGCAAAGATGATGCCTCCTGGTCCTTGTCATGTGTAACTACTTCTCTTTGAATCAAGGAATCTAGATTGAATGCAATGAAAGCAGACAGGTGGGTTATTTTAATTGTCATCATGTTGAATATTTATACAGATACACACACTCACACACACATATAACATGCAAAACATGTAAATACAGTAATTAAAATATGCCTTTTACAGTTTGGTATTAATATGACTTTTTCTGTTCTCCTTAATTGTATTTTTTTTTTTTTTTTTAATATAGGAGTCTGACATGGCTCAAGAGTCTCCGAAAAATTCTGCAGCAGAAATTCCAGTAACTAGTAATGGAGAAGTTGAAGACTCCCATGAACATGCCTATCACAGGGTGAGAACACTTTACTTTCTGTTAATGCAAAGAATCATGACGGTTTTGCCAATCATCTGAGGTTGTTATAAGGAATACAAGGTAGGCTGTGACTTTGATTTGCCAAGGTTAAGCTCCAGGGCCATGAGCTTTGCTATTTAGCTAAGTAATAGGCAACGAGCAAACAAAATTATTAACTAAACTCTTATGTCATTAACCAGAATGACAGTATATCTTATAATTTTGACATATAGTTTTATATAGCTTTTTTTACTTTTCATAAGAAAAAAATGCTAGAATTGTATTTTATCCTTTTAAATATTATTTATAAATATTAACATATCCTTTTAAAATTTAGCATCATCTGATGCTTTTTTAAAAAGTGCATAATTCCTAAATAGCTGTTGTTGATTTTGCTGTTGTTTTAGTTGCTGTGATAAAAATACTATAACCAAAAGTGGCTAATGGAAGAGGAGTTATTTTGGCTATGGTTCCAGAAAGAGAACCATAGTAGGTAGAAAGTCATGGCATAGAGGTAGGAGCAGGAAGTTGGCTGATCAGATTTCTGTCCACACACAGGAAGCAGAAATGAGAACAGGAAATGTAGTAAGGCTATGAACTCTCAAAACCCCATCCCCAGTGGCGTACTTCCTCCAGTGAGGCTCTGCCTCCTTGAACAATGCCATCATCAGCTGGGAACCAAGTGTTCAAATACAGGAGCCATGGGGAACATGTCTCATTCAAACCACCAAAGCAGTTATCCTGAAAGTGGCATAATTGATTCAGAAAAAACTGAAACTTGAGGTGTATTTAATTTTGCTCTGCCTCCAAATTTGGAATTCAGTTTAATGCATTTTAAATGAATATGAGATTGGAAATAACGTGGGTTCAAATTTCAGCTGTGTCATTTCTAATAGTATAATCTTGGGAGTGTTTTCTGTTTCTATAATAAAAATATTTGCTTTCTTTAGGATATTAATAGTTAGTGAGATGAGTAATGTGCCTTGTAAGGCCAGAAATGAAAGTGATACTTGTTATATTGGGACTAAACATTCTTCTAATGACATTTGATACAAGTGTACAACTTTAACTAAAAATATGGTTTATGTGGTCTTGAAAAGGTGGTTTTATTTTGTTAGACTTGTTGTTTGTTTTTTTTAGACAGGGTCTCACTATGTAGACCAAATTGTCCTTGAACTCACAGAGATATGCTTGCGTCTGCCTCCTGAGTTCTGGGATTAAATGTACACACCAGCATGCCCAGCTCTCTGTGTTTGTGTGTATGTGTGCATGTGTTTGTGCACATGTGATTGAAAACCCAGTGGTTGAAAAGTTGTTATTTATTTATTTATTTATTTATTTATTTATTTATTTATTTATTGTAGCCTTAGATAGGCTTCAGCTTTCCAGTTGAGAATGAAATCTTTTTGTGGTGTTTTAGCTCAGGACTCTCAGTTCATGTCAGCTAATTCTCTGTTGTGGGGCCTACGCTTTGTAGATTGATTAGCTAGTGATGCCTTTCTTTTCCAACGAGTAGATGAGTCTTCATCTATTGCTCAGTGTCTGTAAGGCTGGGGAGAAACTCACTTCTATTTTAGGTAGCTCTCTGAGATAGTCATAATGTTTGCTGTTGTCAGGACACAATACTTAAGAATGACTATTTTATAAAGAAAAGAGTAATTCACAGTTCTAAAGGCAGAGAAGTTCAAGATCAGGTGGCTGCATCATGCTATAACTTGATATCATATGGGAACAGGGCATCTGTGAAAGGTCAATATGAACATATGTGGAAGGGAGGAGGAGACAAAGAGCCTGTAACAACACATTCTTGAGAGAGTTAACTCAGTCTCCCAAGAAAAGCCATTCAAGCCTCACTTTTAAGACTACTACCTTGGCAGCATAAATTTCCCCAGGGGCAGACCACATTTACACTAGCTATTTATTTTATTTTCAACTACTTTAATTTGGCTTCTGAGCATGTGTAGTCCAAAATAGAGTAATTGAAGGAAGACTCAAATTCTGAGCATACAATGAAATCCTTTACCTCCAAGATCAACCTGTACAATAAGGAAACTCAAGTTGCTGTCATCATCTGCAACCAATTACAAGATACTGTTACATCATATACTCATTGTACCAAGATTTTAATCACTTTCTTCTAAATCTTGATAGCTACTTTAGCACATTTATTCTGTGAATATTTATTAAGTAACTGCTATGTACCACACAAGGCACTGGAAATATAGTAATGAAAAAAATACCATCAGAGAATTGATAATCCTAAAAGACTATCTGAAGGTGGACCATCACAGCACTTGGGAGCAGATGCAGGAGGATTGCTGCAAGTTCTAGGCTAGCTTATCTACATGTTAAGTTATAGGTTATCGAGGGTTACAAAGTAAGATTCTGTCTCAAACAAGCAAACAACAGAACTGTCTAAAGCTGAAGACCTGTATGCAATGAAAGTACACAATATACAAAATATGTTAGGAGTTACCTCAGTGGTGGAGTATGCGCTCAACATCACCAGTGCAAAAAGTAAAATAAAAATTTGAAGTTAGAGCTGGCTGGTGGTGGTGCATGCCTTTAATCCCAGCACTCAAGAGGCAGAGTTCGAGGCCAGCCTAGTCTACAGAGTGAGTTCCAGGACAGCCAGGGGAACACAGAGAAATTCTGTTTTGGGGGTTTGGGGGTGAGGGGTGGAGTGGGGTGGGAATTTAGGTTTAGTGTTGGAAAGGTCACCACCTTCATTCAGCCTATTCTTAAAATTCGTTGTTATTAGAATATGGCTTATACACAGGACAAAGCACCAGTGTAAAAGTGTACAGCTCTATGAAACCACCACTGAATAGAAATCCAGAATTTTCCCAGGAACTCAGACCATGTCCTTACTGCCTGTTGCTAGGCAGTATGCCTTCTCCTTTCCAGGATGACCACCACTAATGTAAATCTGTCTAGATTGCTCTATTTATTTATTTAGTTTGTTTGTTGTTTTAAGACAGAGTCTTCTTATGTAGCCTAGGCTGTCCTCAAACTTGTGACATCCTCCCTCCCCACCACCCTCACATGCCTCAGTCCCCCAAATGCAATATGTATAAGCATGCCAAGCATGGACTGCTTTTCACTGTCCCTTTTATTATCAGTGGATTATCATTAAACATCTGTGAGACTCATTTGTATTGTTGCTTATAGCAGTATTTTGTTCTTTTAATTGTATCATAGTTTTCTATTTGTAATCTGGTTTTGGTTGGTGGAAAACTAGGATGTGTCTATTCCTTGTCCATTGTGAATCACCACTGCCTCTCTCACTCCTATACAGATCTTTGTTTTATACAGTCAACTGAAGAAACAGAAGTGAAGTGTAACAGTCAGGGTTATACAAATGTTTGACAATCTGTTTAGCCAGTTGACAGTTTCACTCTTGGTATTTGATATATAATTCTACTTTAGCCATTCTTATAGAAGTATAATGATAACCTATTATGCCTTTCTCTGATGATTAATGGTGTTGAGCAGTTAGACTCACCATTTGGATGTTGTCTTTTGTGAAGTGACTTTCCTAGTTAATTGGGTGTAAACTGTTTTCTAAATAATTTGTAGAAATTTATATTCTGGATGTAAGCTCCCTCTTTGGATGTACATTTTACAGATAATAGCTTCCTTCCACCACAGGCTTTTGTATTTTATAAATGGTATCTTTTATTTTTTTTAAAAAAACATGTTATATATTGCTTTTACAAAATGTGGCTTTCACTGGACAATTTTATATGTAAATATAATGTGTTTTGGTCATATTCACCCTAGTGGTATCTTTTAATGAACAAGGCTGCTGAATATAGGCCAGGTTGGCCTCAAGCTTGTAGTCATTCCATTCAGTCTTAACAGGTGTACACCACCCCTTTGCCAGAAGTTGGTAATTTTAATTAGTTCAATTTATCAATCTTTCCTTTGGTGTACCATTTAAGAAATCTAGTATGAACAAACTTTTTTTATAAGTTGCATTTTGCTTCTCATGCTTAGTGTGTAGTTTATCTTGAATTAACTTTGAATGTGATGTGAAATAGAAGTCATGGTTTGTTTCCCTCCTTCTGAATTAATATTATACAATTTCTCCAGGCCATTTGCTAAGAAGACTTTTTCTGTCTGTGGGAAATGAAACTGGTTAGGGAAGTTCATGCCTGTAATCTTAGTGCTTGGAAGACTGAGCTAGGATGATTGCTACAAGTTCAAAGTCAGCCTGGGTTATAGAGTCAGACTGTCTAAAACAAAACAAAAAAGTGAGCAATGAAATCAAGTCTCTCTTACGTAGAAATTAACTCAGATGGACTGAAGACTTTCTATCCGACACTATAAAATCTCTAGAAGGAAGCCTGAAGAAAGTTAGCCATGAATTCTCTGATATGACATTGAAAGCAGAAACAAACAGCTCTAGAAAACTCAAAAATTTCTGCATAGCAAAGGAGATGATAAACTGTATGAAAAGAAAACTTGTAGGATGGAAAGAATACTTACAGACCATACATTCAATATAGTTAATGTCCAAAATATGTCAATAGTAGACAACCCAATTAAGAAATGAGCAAAGCACCTGAGTAAACTTTGTTCCTGTCTTTCTCCCCCCCCCCCCCCCCCCATCTTCCCTTCTTTCTTGCTGGTGAAACCCGAAACCCAGAGCCTAATGTATGCCAGGCGAGTCTTCTATACTACTGAGTTACAACCGTCAACAATTTCCCCAAAAAAGAGTACTAGTAGACGAATATACATGAAAATGTGCTCAGCATCACTGACTCACCAGGAAACTGCAAATTAGAACCATCGTGAATTATCATCTCACACTTACTAGAGTAGCTTTTCTCAGAGGCAAAAAATGGGAGTGTTTCGGTATTAGAGCACTTGTCTAGCAGTTAATCATTTTCATTCTCATTTTCTCTCTCTCTGTCTCTCACTCTTTCTCTCTCTTCCCTTTCTCTCACTTTTAGAGACAGTACATAAATATGAAACAAATATTGGGGACATTGTGG